GCTACCACCCCACACCTGGCCCAGCCCTGTTGCCCAGCAGGCGAGGAGTCCGGGCCAAAAGACAAGCGCATGCACACGACATGCAGCTGGAGCGCAGCTGAAAACTGACCGGTGCGGGAACATGCTTGTTGAAGCACAATGATAGAAACAAAATTTGTTTTTGTCATTGTACTCGAGTCTGTTGGTGCATGAGGTGTCCTGCTTGGCCCGACTAATTCATCCTGCAAACTCATACGTATGTCCTTTCATCATCTCATTGAACCTCTTGTCATAACGTGTGTCTTCAGACGTTTCCTCACCCGGCGTTTCCATCTCCTTCAGATTTTTTTTGTTTTGTTTTAGTTTTCAAAACTAACCTCACAAATCCTGTTCTTATACTTCCATCTACGCACTCCTTTTCCAGTTTTTCCCTGTTCTCCTCCTGTTAACTGGGGTGGCCCCACTACCGCAATGCCATCTGGCAGCGCAGCATGCCGAAAGCCTCGTGACCACACACACTTGCCCACAGACGCGCACAAACACGCACAGCTTGGCAAGGACACTTTCCAGTGCAGGATATTCGATATCCAAGCTTCCAGATCATTGTGGTCCCAAGCGTTGCACACCACATACTCGCACATGAGCAGCCCTGTTGAGTCAACTGCTTCATTTGTCTCCCAACAGGGGGAGCTGGAGAGCATCTATATCGGGAGTGACACGAGACTTTGAGACAGCATGAGGTCAAATGATTTCAACTGTCCCATGCTGCACAGTCATTGAAAAATTTTGAGAGAGTCATTCTTTTGGTTTGAAGAGATGAATTGATACACGCATAGGAGAGAAAAACTCAAAGGTTTTATGTGCACCAGAAGAAGACATGCCATTTCGGGAGTTTTGTTTGTGTCCTTCACTTTCCTCGGCACGTCCCATCGGGGCATGCAGCCTTACCCATCTGAACAACAGCGAAAGACGGACTACGCATGGAACTGCATTTGATTGTGAATTGAATTCAGTGGAAATTCATCCAATAATAATATATTTTATTGCCTATCCACCTAGCCTGGAGTGTAGTTGGCAAACTGATGGGGACTCAACTCTCTTAGAGACTAACTGGGGTGCCAGGGAGTCGCCCTAAATTTTAAATTAAATCTGTCATTTTGGAGACATTTTCAAACCTGCGACAAGATGCATCTATGGATGTTGTAGAGATGACTTCTGTCCGTGACTGAGGAGATGTCTCTGCGACATCTTGGAGGCCTGCTAAAGACCAAGGAGACCAAGAAGACATCACAGAAATGTCTCTGCAAAGTCTACGTGTCAACCTTGATCCACTAGACCAGGGGTCCCCAACCTTTTTTGCCCCACGGACCGGTTTATGTCAGACAATATTTTCAGGGACCGGCATTTAAGGTGTGGCGCAAATAATACAACAAAATAATATGGTATGAGCTGCATGAACACTGTGGTGTTTTCGAAATATAGTAATAAACACGAGGAGCGTCTAATCTGGCCGCAACACTCCGATCGCTATGGCAATGTTTAATGCCATCAAAATATGATACAACGCAAATTCAAAGTGCATGAAAATGACGACTCACCACAGCACCGAGCTTGATTTTCTGCAACCAGACGGTCCCATCTCGGGGTAATAGGAGACAATGACACCTCAAGTGTGTGGTTTATGTCCAGTCTACTTCGTAATTTTGTTTTAGTCGCCGTTGCTGCAGAAACTTCCCCCCCAGCTTCACACAGGTAGGATGTCGGAAATAGCAACAGTGCTATTGTGGCGATCTCAGAGTATTCAGCCATAACTTTAATCCAGTTGTCTCGAACGTACTTTTAAGGCCGCCGTCATTTGCGACCTCCAGCAGTTTTTTTTTACTCATTTTGCGAGCTCCTGCGTTTTGTTTTGAAGTAATCGGTCACGTGTTGGAGAAGCATGGCCTGACGTGTGTCAAGCATGACACAGACGGATGTAACGGAGAATCCGGTAGTTTTTCAAAATAAAACATCTTTCGTATTCCGAAATAAATAAAACGGAATTAAGGCAAGTTCTTTCTGTGCGGCCCGGTACCAAATGCCCGGCGGACCGGTACCGGTCCGCGGACCGGTGGTTGGGGACCCCTGCACTAGACCACATGACTTAGAGAGCATATGAACAAGAAACCACGGGACTGAACCCATGCTGGCTTGACTACCGCAGGTCTCGGATCTCGTCGCCATGAGTAATTCTGACCACAACTTTGGTCTCCTGAATTGCTGCGACTTCCACTCGTAAATAAGCCTCATTAAACAACAAATCCACCTTTGAAGATGATCAATCTCTTGTCAATTCTGGAACAGAAAAGAAAAACATCCCACTCTGATTGTTCCTGAACAAGGTGAAAGTGAACTGCTGGCAAGTGCAGCAATTAGCAAATGAGCTTCGGAAAGTGATATTTTTGGAGTTCTGTTTGGTGCTGTGTCGGGGTGCTCGCGGTGGTGAAATGGGGGTGTGGTGGGATTGGGTGTGTGTGTATGTGTGCGTAAATGTGGTGTGCTGCCAGGTGCGAGTGGGGGTCCGTGGCAGTATATTTATTAGCGGCTGTCAGGGAGGTGACAGTTTGATGAATGGTGCAGCGTAATCAGGGCTGGGCTGTGACAGGCTTGCACGCACAGCCTTCTACCTGCCAAACAGCCCAATCTCTCTCTCGCGCACGTATACGCACACGCACACACACACACACACACACACACACACACACACACACACACACACACACACACACACAAAACTCTATTTACACACAAGCAAAGTGTAGAGCACATGAACAAAGTTGGTCACCTGTAAATATCCCCCTCTTATCAGATAAACTACATCATCAAAATATCTTCTTCCTCTCCTTTTATCTGCTTGTTAAATGACACATTGCCGGGAGATGAGTCTCCATGATGCATTAGCACTGATGGAGATTTTTGCTGTTTTTTTTTAACTTGAACTCTTTCCTTACTTATAACAGATATGATTCAGATAGTTATGGTTCAAGTAAATACATACGGTATGTGTTTTTCTTAAACTATGGCTTTGTGGGTATTGCCATGCATACATGAAAACAAGCGAAGAACAAGTGAAATAATGTAGTTGCAAAAGTGTGCACACCCCCATAATAACTGGGATGTGGCCGTGTTCAGAATTAACCAATCATATTCAAGTGCAGTTTTATTATTTTTTTATGCCTCACATTTATTTGGGGTGTGATTCCATTCTTAGCCATTGGATGGCAGCACACTTATGTTTTCCGCTGATGTAAAACATTTGAAAGAAGAAGAATCAAAACAAGAAGCATTTCAACCTCAGCCTAGTTTTTGCTGATTGTTGTTGAAAATGCATATATTGATCTTGAAATCCTATTTAATTCCCAGTTTTACATCATTGTTTATGATAATTGATGTATATTGACAGAGTGAGTTAAATGAGTTAATTTGGAGAAATGTGTTTCCTGGAAACAGGGATCTGTACACTGTAACACAATTTTTACAATACCTTTGCCTTATCCATTGCTCCTGCTCTCTCTCAATTTATTGTTTTTAAATGTTTTTATATGATTTTAAATGTGTGTGCTGTAAATGCCATAAAAAGATGCCAGGGAGTTTTTAAATAGTGTATTTCTCTTGCGGCTTTCACCTCTCGCGGGGGTGTTCTGGAACATCACCCCTGACATGGAGTGGGGATTGCTGCACATTTTTAAAAATTAATCGAGGAAAATTATTTATGCTGGACTTCTTTTTTATATAATCACAAAAAAATGGCATTTCAAGGAGTGTGCAGAGATTTTTCACTTCCACTGTAATAGCATCTTACCATTCAAATACATCCAAACAACCAACCTGTTGTTCATAAATGAAAACCCAGATCAACTCTTGCACTTCAACTCAAGCGTAAAATGGAAATCATTATTCTCTGTGAGCTTCCAATGCCTCCAAACCAACAGGCAATACGAGAGTTGTAATAATTTGACTTAGGTTTGGTTTTCCAAAGTGTTTTCCAAAGTGTGTTCTGTTGACAGACCACAATCTGGCCCTTCGGAGATGAGCCCAAGTGGAGACAAAGAGGAGTGGGAAAATGTGAGGGAGAGGAAGGGAAAGAAAGTGATGGAAGACTGGAGAAGATTACCGCAGTGTTTGTATGCTGTTATTATATTAACATGCCTCATGAGCCATGGGGCCTGCTCACATTCTATGAGGTAGAGTACAGTAGGATAGCTAGCTCCATTCAAGATTACTTTGAGATTAGATGTCACTAATTTCCAAATGTACCAGTTTGAAGACACATTCACTTGAAAAACTGATTTGTGTGACTTCATGTTGAAAAAATAAAATAAATCAGGGATGTCTGCAACACACCTTTTAATACACTTGTCGTTTGTTATTAATGTTGAGATTGTTCAAATGAGATTCAGACAGTAACGTTTATATCTAACATTATATATGTGTAATGTTTTAACGCCTACATAAGTGCAGTTATTTTTACATGTGTACGACAGTTAATAATACTAAAATATTGTTGAGTAACATGAGGGAATGGCACCCAGTGCTTGACCTTAAAGGTTCCACTGTGTGGTAGAGAACAGCTTGTTGAATAAATGTATTCAACAGTGACATAAATTAAATTGTATCAATCAAATTTCTTTTGCTTATCTGGTATCAGCTTGCAGGGGCAGGAGCTTAAGCAGAGAAGTCCAGGCTTCCCTGTTGCCAGCTACTTTGCCCAATTTTCCAGGGGAATCCCAAGGTGTTCCCAGGACTCTCCCTCTGCTCCTTCCTGATTGGTGGCTTTCATCTCCAAGTCAGCCGGCCAGTCAGTGCATGGGGAGAGTGACCCAATTAGTGAATAGTTTCAGGTGTGCTACCACCTGCAAAGATTAACCACCACTGTTTTAAGGACTCTTTTTTTTTTTAGAGTAAGGGGCAGGGGTGTCCCGTGTTGTGTGTCTAGCCAGCAGTACGTTTGTTTTGTCAGACCCTATCCCCTGTATGTGTTTTGTACCAATATCTTTCGTTTGGTGCAACAAATTTAGTTCTCTGCCATAGCCATCATCCATTCAATTGTTTCTCCACTTTATTCATTCGTGTATTTATGAAAATCTGCCATAACTATTCAGAACGTTCATTCATGTTGAACAAAGGCAGTGGGATTCACTGCCTCCAACTTCGTCGTGTCGTGTCGTGTTGTGTCCCCCCCAGTGTGAGTACTGTTTTGTGTTTAGACAGCCCAAACCGTGACAGTGCACCACTTTTTACTCCTCTCCAACTCCACATCTATGTTAGGTCCTTGCTCTGTTGCCATCATGTGGAAGGGTCGTAACACCCACGCGGCGCCTTTCTCCATGGGAAACTCCAGCGTGGAATTGAATCCAACCCATTTCAAGAGGACTGGTACCAGAGCCCAAGCTGTGTCAAGGTGAGCCTAACTATATCTTGTCGGAACTTCTCAACGAACGCACATCAGCTCGGTCTCTTTTCCTGCAGGAGAAGTGGTGTTTTATATGCCTCAATCCAGTTTCTGTAGCCAGTGATCAGTTTGCACTCGAATCCTATGGCACCCACTATGGACCCGTACCTTCCTTTTGGGCTGAGCCTGGGTGGGCCCCATTGGTGCAGGCCTGCCCTCCAAGTGTACATCTTCAAGCCCCATCTCCAGGCCTCCCTCTCCAGAGAGGGGTATCGGTGACCCTTATCCTGGCAAGGGAAAACGTTTTCCAATCGTTGTAATCATTATAAGGGTCTTTTCAGCTGTGCTTTGTCTGGTCCCTCTCCTCTGACCCGACAACTTAACTCCTCAGATCATTGGGACACACAGATCCCTCCACCGCGATCAGGTGGCTCAGGGAGGGGAGAAATTAACATCCTTATTAATGACTGATGGCGGCACGGTGGTCGACTGGTTAGCACATCCTGCAGAATTAGGGCCTTCCTGTATGGAGTTTGCATGTTCTGCCCGTGCCTGCGTGGGTTTTTTCCGTGTACCCTAGGTGTGAGTGTGACCGCGGATGGTTGTTCGTCTGTGTGTGCCCTGCTATTGGCTGGCAACCGGGTCAGGATGTCGCCCGCCTAATGCCCCCGCAACCCCTGTGAGCATAAACAGATCAGAAAATAGATGGATGTTTATACATCACATTGAAGAGTGAGGATAAAGAAAACATGACCAATCGATTGGAAAGTCAATCGTCAGAGAGGAAAGCGTGGTCAACTGTCATCGCCAAGCAAGTACTCCAAGCTTTATATGCTGACGATTCTGAACCGGTGTGCTTGATCAAATATTTAGCAGAGAGCATCGGGTACATGAGTGCAGTCGACTCCGGCTGAAACCAGCTCCCGTGCCAACAATTTTTCCTTCGGCAAACGTGACTTCAATCTCCTGCAGCAGCAAAAAGAACCACAGTCGTCATGGTGCATTCGAGAATCGGTGCAGGCAAGAGGTGAAGAGTTATTTGCATGCACCTACGACAACTAAGAATGGTGATTATGATTTGAGTCTTTGAAAAAGAAATGCCCGTAGTGTAATATGTGGCCTTATTCTGCCAACATGGCAAGCTGCCCGACAGGGCAAGGCCTTCCTGTACGCCATGTTCTAAACACCCCCATTCATTGTTGAGAGTTATAGTTGTTTTTACTGTGCATATGATACACAGCCACAACTTTCATGCATGGAAAATGCAGTTCAAGATTGTCGCCACGTTGCAACATTTCATATACGGTTGATGCATTCTTATGAGTTTCACATGCACAGCACGGCTGACTGTTCATGTCTCGAAAGCTGTTGTGCTACCGAGTTGAGGTTGCTAGAGCATATGTATATATATATATATATATATATATATATATATATATATGTCGATCGATCGATCTAGGGGTGCAAAAGCACACGAGTCTGTATTTCCACTCCGCTCTGCCAAGTACTGTGACCACTCTAATCCAGGCCCCTCTTTGGCATTGTCATCACTTTCGCTTTCTCTTCCACTGACCGGCTCCGATGTGCTGATTGGCTCAAACATGTTGTGATTGAGAACACCCACTTCTGTCAGCTCCCGTGTGTAAAAATCCTCTTCCTCGATTCCAAAATATTTTTCGCCATTGAATGTACTGTGATGTGTAGCGCATGGAATTTGTAAAGTATGTCTTGTATGTAGCGTGCTGTTAGCTACTAAAATGTCACTTCTGATAACCCTAGCGGTGTTTAGAGTAACTTCACCCATGATGCCTCAAGCTTCCAGTAGGTTCGGAAACACTCGGAATAAGTAATGAAAACCTATTTTTTCAATCAAACTGTGGTCGACAACTTGCAGGAAGTGACGTGTATGTATTCCAAAACATATTACCCATGAGAATATGAATTTTAACAGACTGATCAGCCTTTTAGGTTAACATGACATGACAGCAGTAAACACGTGGCCTGACTCATCAATGTTAATCCCTAACATGTCCTTTCTTTCGGTTTAACATTAGCCAGTAGATTGGGGCGTCATTAGGTCAACCAAGCATTTTAAAATCAGAGCAAGAAAGCACTCAGAACACAACAGCTGTGGAAAATAATCCACAGTCAACTATCTTGTAAAAATTTTAAACGAAGGTTAATCTAATGAGGTCAGCATGAAAGACATCTGTGAAACATGTTTTGATACCATAGGATGCTGAGCTCAATATATTTACGAACAGCTGATAGATGATAAACTTGAAGTTCATTGAGAAGAGTTCATCTTTGCTTGTTGATAAGATTGCTTCTTTGCGTGCAAAACCTTGACAGTAAAAACGTCATGAGGAATGGGACAGAGTTGGCATCAAATGAAATCTATTTCAAAAGTAGGATTGGCAACAAAAAATGCTTGCAATCTCTCTATGTTTTTAAAACTGAAAACAATTTGCACTTTTGGTATTTGAACAAGAAAAAATGAAGTCGATGCACATAATTGGCTTTCGTGGGCCGTATAAAATGATGTGGTGGGCCGGATGTGACCCTTCGATTTGAAACCTGCGGTGTCCTTGTGTGAGTTCCTTTGACACCAAGGGACAGTGTCCTATATGCAGACATATTTCATCTGGATTTGATGATGAGCTGCTATATTTGCTGTTTTTTTACAGAACATACACCATATGCCTGTGAGTAGTGTTATCGTGTTTGTCGACATGTGCTGCTACTGTTTGTCTTCAAATATAAGATGGGAAGATATTTGCCATCATGTGTTAGCATTAGGCATAAATACTTTTGTAAGACAAATTTAATGTGGTTTGCTTCAAGACACAAGTTTTAGTTTGCCTTGTTTTATGTCCGGTTTTACACCAAACTTACACTTGGAGTGATAATAAGCCGCTTTAAATTTATTTGGCCTGACTGTTTACTTGGCCTTTTAGAATTTAGAGTTTGCTGCTGCTAGCCATTGTATCTCAAATTTTGCTCGCATGTCAAAGTGCAAAAAAAATAAAAATAAATAAATAACAATAATAATCAGCCATGCGAAAGCTCACAAATCGGGTCACTTGTAAGTGGACGCACCGTTGTACTTATTTACATGCTGTTGGGTCACGCCCTGTGAGCCAAATTTCATCTTCATATTGTCATCATGCCGGTCAGATGGGTAATGAGAGACCCTTTTCACGCTTGCGTCATCCCACCAATATTAAACTCCCTCCATCACTCCCAAAGAAGTAACAGAACGCCTCATGGGGAATACGCAAACACACATCGCTTCACATAGAAGCATTGATGCATGAGCGGGATGGCGGTGATGAATGAAGGTGATTCTAAGATCTGTGTAATAAGTGCTAGGAACATCCCATGTGAAAGCAACGGGCAAGAGTCTGATTCCCTGGGGCCTCAATTATCAGCACATTTGACCACACTTATAGGGCAGAGAAGAAAAAGCGGAGCTGAACGTGGAGCAGTAGGCATGAAATAAATGAAATCCTTTTGAATTTGGCAGTTGTCTTTAGGCCGCTTTGGCACACATCAGATAGGTGACTTGAACTAGGCCGTTATATCATTGTGACCTTCTTTAGCTGATGATCAGAACTTTTCCCAAAGTATAGCACCCTGTTGCACACTTACCAGTGTAAATCAGTTTAAACTGTGGAGTCACACATACTGTAGGAAAATTCCAACACATCATTATGACGCACTCTTGCCTGACCGTGGCTCAGCCAGTGAAAGCACAGGTATCATTTTGGACACATGAGACCTTATTCTGCACCTGGGCGGTTTAAAGGCTTAAGGGCCCCATGTCCTCATCCATTAAATAGTCCAACTCGAAAAATACAGTCTTCTGGTGGTTTAATATTAGTGTTGCGAGCGTGAAAGACAAAAGAACGGACAGAAGTTGCATTGAAGCCCAGCAGTGTGTCTGTCAGTTAAGAGTCGTCTACAGTCCTGTGTGAAAGGCTAGATTGCACCTGTTGAATTTTAGCTTGGGGCTGGGCGGGTTGAAGACGTCAGAGGTGTGAACATTAGGATTCATCTTGACAATGTGTCAACACTATCAAGACAGAGGTGACATCTCCAACAACCTGCCAGCGTTGGCGTGCGCTGATTTAACACGTTCATGTCACCCAGTGTTACTGGCACTCACGTTGTTTGCAACCACATCAGTGGCATTTTGTGTTCATTACAGATGGCAACTGGTACACAATCCATTCCGTCGACCCCAGCCTGACAATAAAGACGGAGTCCAAATAACGGTGATCCGTCGTTGAAATTGGACTGCTGCACTGAAATAATATATTTTGCCGATGCACTTTGTGAGGCTGTCTCACCGCTCAGATATGACTCCGTTTTTCCTCTGACAAGCAAATCGCAGATGCACAAATGAACCGTCACCGTATCAAAACATCCATACTGTTATGTCAGATTACACGAAGACAGCCCAATTTTGAGCCAACAGACGTGTCGCAGACAAACGTACTGTCTCGTAGCTGATTTGGAGTTGTCTTGACGTGTCGAAGCCTGTGTCGTGTGACATGCTCAACGACTGGTCGTGAGGCATCTGGGACACTTTACGGCCGCATCGAGGGAAGTCTGGCACGTAAGAATTTTTGTTGATCTTGTCGCGTAGTGTGGTATGTTCTACATCGTCCTTTAATTGGTTCTTCGACACTGAGAAGACATGGCCTTCCTACTAATACAAGAAACTGACGTGGCTCACACAATCACAATGTGATGTACTTAAAAAGTGATTCAAAAAAATAGGAAAATATTGGAAAGTGTATGTAGCATTTCAATTCATGCTATGTTTGCTAATCGCAAAGCTCGGAGATACATCAGACTCCCTCGATTTAAGCAAACCCGTGGAAGCTCCCCGATACTCGGTCCTCCATTCTCGAGGGGCGTTTAATACTCTTTTCATACATGGTGGAAAAATCTGAACTTGGATTGTCCCACTTCTGACCTCAAATGTTCGAGGAGAACGTAAACAACATAGATGGCTAATTCCCATAAAATGTTTGTTGTTCTGGTTCCTCACAAGACATTCTGACCTCCAGCAAACCTTCTTTATCATTTCCTAAATTTATATAAAAAAAAAAAATATTAGCTTCATAGAATTCCACAAAATATCTTCCTACAGGGAGATAACGGCAGATCTTCACACAGTCAGTCCAAGTCAAGTGTTACGTGAAACTATTTTGAATTTGTGAAATAAATAAAGCTAAATATATATTTATAATCTTATAAATTATGTTTTGTCATTCACAGTCTGTTTCTCCATGGGGTGGCCATTGTCAAATGATGTCACACTGAAGTTGGTAAAACTCATTTTTTTCCAAGCTCGCAACTCGGATCTCCCTGTTCAAAGGGACGTTTTAGTGTGCTTTTCGGAGTCGGAGGTTAGAAGTTTCCAATTTCCCACCTTCCTCAAATGCAACATTAATACGGCAACGTGACAACGTCCGTGTCACATTCAATGTTTTGAGGCGTGAGGAGCTAGGAACCTAGCATGAGATATGAGACCTTTTTTTAAGAGCCAGAGTCCATTAGCATCATGCAGTAGTCGTAAACTGGTCTACTAATTAATTAATTGGAATGTATCGAATTTTAACTTTAATCATAACAGAGTTTCAACTACGGGAAACATGATTAGCTCATGAAAAAACAAAAACGGAGTCACCTAACGCCATTATTCTTCACAGTTATTATCAACACTGATGCGAAATCACAGTTAAGAACCTGTAATACAGAATTCACAGATTTTTGTTCCTAAATACACAATAGCTACTTGGCAGAGTTTTTAACAACACTCTTTCCATAGTGTATTTTAATTTACAGGGGCGGTGAGGCAATAAGATAGGGAGATTCCAGTCAGGTTCGGCCAAAATGGAACTCAAGTCAACTCAACTCATCTGTATTTATAGAGCACTTTGAAACATCCACCGCTGTATACAAAGTACTTTACAAAAATGTAAGAACAATTGATCTATGAAATTAATGACTATATAATAAATTCATATTTAATACAGTATATATTTTTGCCCACGTTTTCTTTTCAGATCAGATGGTTATGTTAACTTTTACGACATCGTCACTTTCCTGTCAAGCAATTTGTATCTGACACTTGGATGCTTTTCTCCTCCGAACCCCCACTCACTTCTCTTTTGAACAAACGTCCTCCTTTCTTAACCATCTATCATTCTGCCAGGCTCACTGGGGCCTTTTAAACTGTGGGATTGACACTTTCTCAGTTGCTGATCTGGAAAAAGGATTGCACGCTCGCAAAGATCAGCGTTGAGCTGGCTGACTTCATGCAGGGGGAACACGATGGAAGCTCTGTTTGCACAAAAAGCACCAATCATTTTTTACACCCACCAAGGAGTTTATGTTGTAATCATTTGGGCAAAACAAAAAAATCACTCAACTTTTTTGGATGGATGCTTCATGAATCATCGAAGAACCTGTAACTCTGGATCCTTCTTGCTCAGAAAAATTTCCAAAAATACACATGTTCAATGTACAGTGATGACTGTGGAAACATACAGATCTGTATACATTCCTGGAGCTTAGGGCAATGGAGGTTGGTGTTGTGTTTATGTTTACACATACATTACAATGCTGCACTGTAAACTGTTTGCATTGCTCTAGCAAACTTAAAAAAAAAAAAAGATTAAAAGTAAGGATTGGTTGCGAGACAGCAGGAGTTCTCAAAGTTTTTGCACCAAATACCACCTTAAAAAATATTTCCAAATAACACCATCATGACCACCAAGAAGAAACTGTGGCTCAGATGGCCGAATGGTTGAAATCAAAACAAGACTGAAGATTCCAAATTGTTCGGAGCTGCGGATGGGCATTTGTCAAGCACTTCTTAAAATTGCAATTACAAATGTGTTGATTTGACACTTAAAAGTAAAATATAACTCAGTTGTATTTAGGCAGTGATTCTTTCGCTTCACTATAAAAGTTACCTAGTGTGACAAATTAAAGTTTGACGGATTGGACAGGAGGCGTTTATTCGAGATGGCACTGGGAATCCGACTGTGTTGATTTTCAGGTTGTTTCCTGTTACAACTTGACAAACTTTCTCTCACTTTGGAGTGAGAGGTGTCTGTGAAGATTGGAAACGCTGACGACATCTGTGAGCGCACGCAATAACGTGCGTGTGGAAATGCCACATTTGGCAAACATGAAGGAATAACAATGCATACTGTCAGCAGGTCTCGTCCCTGCCAGTGCGCTGGAAGCAACACGAAGTGTGAATCGCGCAGAACCCGTAATGACACCCCATATCCATGCATACAATCACGACACGTACACACGCATCAGGGCCTTGTACTGGGTCTGTGCATTTACAAATAGGGTTGCATAGAAACTAGAAATCTACAATATTGAACGTGAAGGAATTAAATATTCACCCATCAATTTTCGTTACCACTTGTCCTCAATAGGGGCACACATGAGTTGGATCCTATCCAAGTTGACCTCCTACACTTTGAACTGGTCGCAAATCAAAGCTCTCATATAGGAAAACAACCATCCACACTCATGTTCAAACCCGTGGCCAATTTAGGGTCTTCAATTAGCTAAAGAAACAGGGAGAATGTGCAAACTCAACACAGGCAGGCTGGAGTCCAGACATACTGTAACCACGTCATACACAAACTAACCAACAAACTGACTATATATATATACACACAGACTAACAAACATTTGTTTTTTTTAACAAAATCTTTAAAAAAAGATTTTATGCAAGTACAGTTGGAAATGAGGAAAATGCAGTTACTTGGCTTGAGCTGCTTAAGAGAAAATATGCATATATTTTCAATCCTCAAAATTTAAATTTTCAATGGAACGTTTTTGGAGCGACAGTGGCTTTTTTTCATTTTTGGGGAAAGCCTTCATCAATTATCCCTATATTAGAGTGTGTGTGTGTGTGTGTGTGTGTGTGTGTGTGTGTGTGTGTGTGTGTGTGTGTGTGTGCCCGCGCGCGCATTCTTTTTAATTCATGGATGGGTTGCCTCTGGAGATGAGTAAAGTGTAACATGGTATTCTTCAGTGAAACAATTCAAGACAAAACTATTCCAAAGTTGCTGTACTTTACCAGAAACTTTCCTCTTCGCGACCCCTGTTCGCAGTGAGGCACACCCTCACATCCTTACTACGAAGCCCACTCGACACCATGTGAGTCTCCCCGTGCACCTGAGCGGCCATCCCTCCATTCTCATTGTGGACAGTTGGCCTGCTGCGGCCTTTGGCTGTCCCCGCGTCCTCCAATTACAATCAAAATAATGGCACTCAGTGAAACGTTACAATGGCCTCATAAGTACTGTGCTATAATCATTTGTCTATTGTCTATTAACTAAACTCATCAGACTAACTTCACCATGTATTTAAATCATAATTAGAGCTAATAAACCTTCTACTCCTATTCTTTTTCTCCAAGCAGCTTTATGACACTTATCTTCTCCCCCCCTCCCCCACCCCCCAAAAATAGATTTTTATCAAATTAAATTAAGACATTTCATGTGCGTTTTGTTCCGGTACACAAGCTTATCTTTTTTTTTGGTCTGTCAGTAGAGGGCGCTCTATCCCAAGTGGTCCCACATATCTGAGCTTGTGTGTTTTTAATTTCTCAACACTGCCGCTTGTGTTACTCAACGCACAAACTATCAGATAATCTTGCTTTGTTTGACCTTTTGTATAAACCAAATGAAACACATGTGGACAAGAGCTCAGTTTTAAGAAAAATAAATCATGGATGGACAGGACTGGGGGGAAAAACATTTTATAAACATAACTTTATGTGTCATTTCTCAAGTCCAATAAAATGTTTTTGTGTGATTGTTATTCTGCTCACAATGAGAGTGGCACTTCCACTGCCATCATCTGCTGTAGTTTTAGGCTAGACTAAACAGCTGTCTAGGAATATGTATGCAAAACATCTGGAAGGACGAATGCTTACTAGCCTTACTTGGCACTTGTCATCAAATTGCACGCAGTGTCTATTTCACACAAAAGTTAAATCTGGTTGTAATTTTGAAATTACACTTGCATACTAAATGTAATTCTTCACCCCGTTGTTTATGTTTGACACCAAATGAAGGTGTACACTTCAGATTTTACGTGGACTGTATTAATGCGTTTAAATAAAAAAGAGACAATCTCATAATGAAGCCGAAATTACTTTTTAACACATACTTAGAATTGCAACAAAATACTCCTTTCTTTCTTCTTTTTTTTGCCTAATATGAATATGTATATTTTTTCTTCTCAGTGAAAATTTGTATTTAGGCTAATTTAATTGCTTCAAGGTGAAATTGATTTTCTTTTGTCTGTGCCAACAAGTATTCCATCACCACTTTTTGCATTTATGAAATTGCATTCATGTATAATAAAATGCAAGGTTATCACAAGTGCTTACAATTTTGCAAAAAAGCTTCATTTTTGAAAATGTTTGAGACTTCATTTATGAATTGGTGTTAGCAAACCAAATATTTGTTCTTATTATCACTGAAAACATATTGTGTTTTTAATGTAATTAAAAAAGTCTATACTTCATATGTAATTTTCCACACTCCTAAATTACTGGCATAGCACACTTTTGTGCCACGGTGTT